ATGAGCCAAGGTCACCCTGGTTATCGGAGAAGCAAACAGACAGGGACTAAGTCCATCGGCCAGATCCCAGCTGCCACCCACGCTGCCATCGGCGCTGCCTAAGGGGTGCCCAGCCTCTGCAGCGCCATGTGTCCGAGGGGTGTGAGTCACTACTGTGAGTCTGGGACAGCACCATGGAGTTGCCCGGTGTCGCCACAGGAATTCTCGGGGCTGACCCGCTGTTTATTGAGCCAGCTGCTTGGACATGCCTGGTGTTGGAACCCGGATGCCCTGGCCGTCAGAGCAGCATGAACCCACTTGACAGATGGGGAACCTGAGGACCAAAGTAGTGAGGCAGCTCCTGCAGTCAGCCCTCCAGCCTTACATGCAAACACTGTCTTGACTTCCCTGAAGGATGAATGGGGCATGACTGAGGGGGCACAGTCGTGATACCCTGTCCTTGGTGCCCGTCAGCCCGGCCAAGAGTCGAGAAGAGCTGTTCTGTCTGAGGCAGGCCTCTTCACGTCTCTGACCAAAGAGGCCTTGTCAGTACGGGCTGGGAAGCCCCGATGCCCAGTGCGGTTGTCAGGACAGACCTTGGTCCAGTGGTGGAACACAGTAGGCTTGTGGCTTGGATCTCTCTGGCCCTCTGTCCAGCCTGCCATCCAGTGGCCCTGAGCAGGAGGAGGTGCAATCTCTGGCTGGTCCCAGGCCTCATTCTGCTTCTGGCTGCCAGAACACCTGACCCATAGAAGACCCTTGAATTTTCCTTGGGAACTGCCCCTCACAGGTGGGCTGGGGGGTGCAGGGTTGAGGCTAATAGGGTCCCTCTTGATTGCAATCCCTTTCAAAACTTCATCTGGCTCTGAATCTCACACACCACCCTCTGCAGGCCCTGAGAGAATGGTGGGTGCCCTCTGGCCCCCTGTGGGTGTCCAGAGGACCCACAGGACTGTCTGGTACACACAGGTCCAGGCCAGGGAGCCCATTCAAGTCCTTTATCCTCTCTGTGACTCAGTTTCCCCACCCCTAACATGGGGACCCCACCTCTCTGGCTGCCTTGAGGACTAGATGTGGCAATCCCAGGTAAGCTCACAGCCTGGCCCTGGGGCTGCCCCTCGCCAGTGGGTCTCCCTGATGTCACTGGGCCCGAGGGGGTGTTTCAGGGCCTGTGTCCCCTTCCTGGGCCTCAGTGTTGGTGTCTCATCTGTACAATGGCCTCCCTCCAAGCGCAGCTGTCC